CGAGCAAATTGCCAACATTGAAATACGAACCCCCTCTAATATAAAGCTGGCTACGGGCCTGTCTATCTATATATCTGAATCTATGATAAAATAATCAAAAATTAATTTCCTTGCGCTCGATCGATGCGCGCAAAGGATGACGGGTATGTGAGTGGTAAAACAAATCAGTAACTAAGTTCAAATTCGGAAAACAAAATTTTTTTAAATGCAGAAAATGTTAATACTTCTGCGCATGGATATCACGTTGTTATATGATATCTATGCTTCTATGCTTTTCGTTCTCTGTGCGCACAATGTTTGTAAATCTTACTCAGAAAACTGAAAGAAAGCAGCACTGCATGCCGGGATAATTCGTTCTCTACCGTGTGCTAGGTCTTTGTGTATTAGACTGGTACCCGGTCGACAGTTCCACACGCTACACTAACGTCAGTGTAGCGAAGGATATATGCCGAAGTGAAGGTGGCAAACGGGTACCAGTCTACATGGGTATTTGTTTTCGTAGGCGTAAACATGGCTGCAGTTTTGGATATCAGGCTGAAGAAAGTGAACAAAGTTTATCGGCAAGGGGATATGGTGTCTGGTGTTGTCGTCATTCAAAGTAGAGGGGAATTGTCACATCAAGGTACTTAAATGAAATCGATTATATTGTCATCTATATAACGTATTCAAACTTACCTGCAACATACAGTCAGTGTCACTGTCCGAGTCTGTCGCTCGTAGTCATAGGGTCTATGTCCCCCGGCCAGGGTACTAGTACTACTGTCCGTTATACCGGAACGTACCCTGGTAACTATTTGATATGGTTAGGGAGTAGGCGTAGGCGACTCCCTATACTCGTTAGTGGAGCAGGTGAGAGGTACGGTCCGGCATATTAGATTATAGATAGTACCAGGGTGCGTTTCGGTATACCGAACCGTACCCAGGGCCAGGGTACGTTCCGGCAGTACCCTGGGGGACATAGACCCTCTCAGCGTCACTGTCAGTGGAATTTGGCACTATGTCGCTATCTGATTAAATGAGTACATCACTACATGTATACCCTGGAATTCATTGTTAGTTAGTTTATGAAAACGGGGCAAATTAATGGCAAACATGAACTTCAAAGCTAATTATAACATCGGTTTTCATAAGAATTAAGGCTTAATCCAATCCTAGTTTAGCACCTCAAATTAGTTCAGCGCATTTGCAAAGAACACATTTGCGGCGTCCCAAACCAGGATTGCGTAGCCGTCTCTTCGCGGGAGACCGTCCTCGCTCTGCCACACGTTGCCGTCGTCACCGCTGTTGCGTCGTCTGCTTTCAGGCGTCGTCCTGACGATGGAGGGATCGACGAACCTGCAGCTGAGCGCTAAGAGCGTCGGCGTCTTCGAGGCGTTCTACAACTCCCTGAAGCCGATCCAGATCCTCCACTGCACGCTCGAGCTCGCCAAGCCGGGAAAATTCCCGTCCGGCGACACGGAGATCCCATTCGAGTTCCCGCTGCGTCCGAAGACGAACAAGACGCTTTACGAGACGTACCACGGCGTGTTCGTGAACATCCAGTACGTTCTGCGCTGCGAGATGAAGCGCCCCCTGCTGGCGAAGGACCTCCTGAAGACGTGCGAGTTCATCGTGGAGTACCGCGACGACGACGACTCGACGGCGGCGGCGGCGGCCGCGCAGCAGCAGCAGCAGGGGGCGCCGCTGTCGTTCACGATCACGCCGGAGTCTCTGCGTAACGTCGGTGAGCGGGAGCGCGCCGCGATCCCCGGGTTCGCCGTACGAGGACGCCTCGACTCGACGACGTGCCGCGTGACGCGCCCGCTCACCGGGGAGCTCGTCGTCGAACGCTCCGAGGCGCCGATCAAGTCGATCGAGCTGCAGCTGGTGCGGGTCGAAACGTGCGGCTGCGCGGAGGGTTACGCGAAGGACGCGACCGAGATTCAGAACATACAGATCGGAGAGGGCGACGTGTGTCGCGGCGTCGCCGTGCCGATCCACATGGTGTTCCCGCGGCTGTTCACCTGCCCGACGCTGTCGACGAACAACTTCAAGGTCGAGTTTGAGGTCAACCTCGTCATCATCTTCCAGGACGATCGGCTCGTGACGGAGAACTTTCCCGTGAAACTGACGCGGTTCTAGACGTCGCCGGGGGTTCGGACGCCGAGGGAGCGCGGGCGTGGTGGGATGCCGCGTCGTATCGCACGTGAAAAAATTCGTTAGTGTCGCGCATGAGAATTGCGTAAATATTGCATAAAGGTTGCGTAAAAATTGCGTAAATATTGCGTAAAAATTGCGTAAATATTGCGTAAAGATTGCGTAAATATTGCGTAAAAGTTGTGCCGCTGTGTTCGATGATGTTAATAGTTGATTCTGTGCCGGTGTTGCACGTTGCTTTGTGCGCGTTTGTTTCCTTGAGAGGTCTTTGCTCCCTCTCGTCATTTTGTGATCGAGTGTGTCTCGGAGTTTTGTCGTCACGCTTGTAGAGGAACGTGGTAAATGTAGATCTATTTATACATATCAGCCTGTTGAGTTATGTTTTGTGTGTCTGAGACCTACCATACTTATTATCTTCAGCATCCTACTCACTCTCTGTATAACGCACATGCACATACACATGCATGCACGCACGCACAAATAAATAATGACTTTATTAATCCTAAGGTGCCCTGGCTTCGCGACATTTCAATTCCACACAGCGCCAAATGAAATTGTGTTTCTCTGCCGTTAGTGACTAAGTCAGTTCCAGTGTGCCTAAGATCCAATAATATTTGCTTGAGATTATATGCTCAAAATAGAAGGCACACACTCGATTCGTTTTAAGCAAACCATTTTGATCTACCCCTTCCTCCCCCCTGCCCCACTGCCTCACTTTACGCACTGGTAACACGCACCCCGCAACGCTGAATGAAATAATGTATACGTTTTTATGCCGTTGGTCGGCGCTAGTGTCGCCCAAGCGAGAAAGAGAGAGAGAGAGAGAGAGAGAGAGAGAGAGAGAGAGA